GACCTTCATCCAAGTTCAACATACGTGCATACACGCATGACGGTCGAGGCTAATAGCGGAGCGGCAGCCAAACGAGGGAGCAGTGCCGACGAGTAAGACTGCCGAGGAGATGGAGCGATTAGAGGCACGTGCTCACCAGCTCGTGGGCAGGAGTATGATTGGTGTTGTTTTTGTTGTTGCAAAGATGGCAAGAGTTTGGGCAAGCCTTCATCCGACAGTGACGAAGGCTTCAGAAGCGTGCGTTCAGAGGATTTAGTTGCTGTGCATTTCCACATGATAAGCCACTTCGTTGAGCTATCATTTGTGGCCAGGTTGTTTATGAAAAAGATGCACAGTTCAGTGAGGCTTTACATGCTAAAATAAAACGTTTAAAATATATTCGAAGCTTTCGTGACTGCAGAAATTACTCTTTGGTTCTTTCGGTAAAGTCAAGTAGAAAATAAAATAATAATATAATACGACGTTTCGGTTGCAACACAAGCAGCCATTATCGGGTAAGAATGAATGATAAAACACAGACGATTGGTGTGTGTCTCGCTCGGTGTGTCTCTGCTTGTGTCTGCCTCTGTTGTTTCCGTGTCTGTGTTTTATCATTCATTCTTACCTGATGATGGCTGCTTGTGTTGCAACCGAAACGTCACATTCTATTATTATTGATGTTCTACGTGACTTTACCGAAAGAACCAAATAATAAAACGTTTAGTTTAGTTGAATAGATAATCCCGCACCTCCGATTAGCACGGTTCGCTCACGAATGGTGTCGAACAAGTTCAACGTATAGAGTGTATACATCACGGCTGGTGATAACGATGAAGCAAGGACACTCTTCAATTAACCTACGCGGCCTGAGAGATGGGAGGAGGAGGAGGAGGAAGAGATGAAGGTGGTTAGGATTCGACACGAGCTCTCGGCTTATCGGCGAAGTAAACAGCTGCTTCCGAATGACCCCAGCAGAAAACACGTGGGCCCACTTGAAGATGGCTTGCAATGCAGACACGCCGAGTGGGACGCGCGCACGCACTCACACGGGAGGGAGAGCATCGCCCGCGATTGCCTGCGGCTCCGGTTCGAGCAGGGTGCAGGCGCACACTCGGGGGATCTCCACGTGTCACGTCACGGGGTGCAAATGGATGAGATGATTGTCATCACTAATTGCAATAATGCAAAGTGACGGCTCAACGACGAGAGCAGTTTTCCTCGGGAGAATGCATCAAAAGCACGCGCGACGGCGGTGCAGGGCATCTGCCGAATCTTCTTGGTTCTTTCGGTAAAGTCACGTAGAAGGGAAATAATAAAATAAAAATAATAACACATTTTTATTGTTTTATTTGTATTCTTTTTCTTTCTGTAAAGTCACGTAGAAGGGAAATAATAAAATAATAAAAATAACACAATTTCTTGTTTTTTTATTATTTTATTATTTCCATTCTACGTGACTTTACAGAAAGAACCAAGAAGATGAATCCCTGCAGTCACGAAAGCTTTAAATCGAAATTCATCTGCCGAATGTCAGTGAAGGTGACAGCCCCGTCATGTGACGCTGTTTTAAGCTGCTGCTGCTGCTGCTTGCAAACTCACGAGTCGATGTCGCACGAACATGGCACGTCTAACACAGCGAGCAGCGCATGAGACCTGCCTGCGTCCATGGCGCACTCTGCTCACGTTCTCACCCCCTTGTCGAGGGGTCCCTCGCTTCACGGACGTTGCCTTCACGCAACTCACGTTGTGTACAGACACACACACGCGCGTCTTCGATAACACTGGGTAGTAAGTGTTATATCATAATTGATTATGCCTCAAATGTACAGAAAATGGCTATTATTCCCCACAAACTTTGCTTTTGTGATCAGGACAGTGATGTTTTGAATTTTACCCATTTTCTATGAGAAAATTTGCCTATTTTCTATGAGAAAATAGGCAAATTGAGAATGTGTGTCGTTCCTTTACGTAAAGTTCTGGTCACAGAAGCAAAGTTTGTGGGGAATAATAGCCATTTTCTATACTTTAGAGGCATGAGCAATTAGAAAGTGACACTTACTACTCGTTAACAAAACTCGTGTTACAGAGTGGTGCAATTAGCGAAATCGAATTTCCGCGCGAACGAAATTTCTCCCGGGGCACGTCACTTCCAGATGACGTCTCGACGTTTCGCGCCGCCGTCAGCAGGCTTCGTCATGGCAAGCGCCAACTCCCGCAACAACAACAGCAACAACAATCTTTGAAAGCCCACGGTCAAAGTCGTGGCTCTCGTCCGGTTCGTGGCGTGGTTGGCCACTGCCATCTGCAGGCTGCAGCGCGAACTGCAGCACTGTGCCCTGCGGTCGTTCCACGTGAAACACAGAGCGCAACACGCGGAGCGAAATGTTGTTCACGTGATTTACCAACCCCCCCATGTAACTCTTTTCAACAGATTGTGGCTTAATTCTAGATTTGAAGTTTTTGATTTGAAGTTTTCGTATAGATTGTGGCTTCAGTGGACTTTTCAACGGCTTAATAGACACATTGGGTCGACATTTAGAGCTGTTGCTGCCGCGTTCGCAGTGCTGCACACGCACAAATAACAACACACAAATAACACCATACAAATAACAACACACACAGATAACAACACGCAAATATGATAATAGTTTTTACCCTTTTATCTGGCAACAAAACTGACACCTTTTGTACAAGGCGTCATGTTTGCATAGACCACAATACCTGCAGTCATAATGCAAACAAAAAACATAACTCTGATAATGTGCACTGTCCTTGAAGTTGATTGGTGCACACCCGAGACAGCTTTCCTTAGAGCCCAGTCTCACATGGTGTTGGACCAGATGACGCCAAAATAACAACACACGCAGATAACAACACACACACAGATAACAACATGTATAAAAGGCGACGTTTCGGGCAATGTCCCTTCTTCATGTGCAATGTAGAAGGCCCATTGCTGCAGCGTCATTGGACGTGTGAAGGAATTTGTGTCCTTGGCAAGTCGACTGACGTGGGACTAGGGCTGCAGGGCAGACAGAAGAGCGAGAACCTCGAAGGCACGAGGAGTCGTGGACAGCACTCAAGAACATCCGGAGATGCAAGAAAATCAGCAGCAAGACCCAACTGAACATGTTAAGAGCACGCGTGTTCGGGGCAGCTGTGTATGCCTGCGAGACTTGGACATTGAAAGAGGCCGACAGGGATACGATATTGGCACTCGAACTGTGCTGCTACAGAAGGAGACTGCGTCTGAGCTGGACCCAGAGCGTGACCAACGGTGAAGTAAGATAAATGTTGCACATAGAAGAAGACGACCCGGTGATGATGATGATGCAGGCAGTGACGAGAAGGAAACTGGCACGATGTGGACACTCGTGTAGGACGGACAACAACAACAGGGACATTAAAAGTGTCGTCGTTTTCTTGGTTCTTTCGGTAAAGTCACGTAGAAGGGAAGTAATAAAATAATAAAAATAAAACATAATAAAATAAAATAATTCTCACGACGTTTCGGCCACAACGCAAGCAGCCGTCCTCAGGTGAAGAATGAGACACTGCCAAGCTAGCAGCTTATATATAAGCTGTGTTTGCAGGTGGAAGAAGAGCGCCTTAACAAAAGAATGTGCATATGAAGAGGAATTTAGCATATTCATGGCAAATGCGTAGGAGGTGGGCGGGGGGGTTTCAAAGTCATATTATGCCCATGCATTATGCAGGATCAGCAGCACCAAGGGGGGGGTGCAGGGATTAGCAGTAACAAAGGAAAGGAATGTTAATGATATGTAGCTGCAGTTACTCAACAACAACGTAGAAAACTCAAGTATAAACTACATAAAAAACTAAAGTATAAACTGCATAGCACCATCAGTATACTTACTATACTCAACAATAAGCTGAGTTACTAACAGCAAGTAATACATTACAATTGTAATGTATTACTTACAATTGGTGCTGCTGATCCTGCATAATGCATGGGCATAATATGACTTTGAAACCCCCCCGCCCACCTCCTACGCATTTGCCATGAATATGCTAAATTCCTCTTCATATGCACATTCTTTTGTTAAGGCGCTCTTCTTCCACCTGCAAACACAGCTTATATATAAGCTGCTAGCTTGGCAGTGTCTCATTCTTCACCTGAGGACGGCTGCTTGCGTTGTGGCCGAAACGTCGTGAGAATTATTTTATTTTATTATGTTTTATTTTTATTATTTTATTACTTCCCTTCTACGTGACTTTACCGAAAGAACCAAGAAGATGAATCCCTGCAGTCACGAAAGCTTTAAATCGAAAAGTGTCGTCGTTGTTGTTGTTCTGGGTAAAAATGTCAGGAATCGGAACGAGAGGAAGAGCTCACAGAGAATGGGTTGACGACGACGCCATCAGAGATCGGTGCCGAGGGAAACGTGGCCACGACTGGAGACAGATTGGCAACCAGAAGACAGCGGAACGCGAAGAGACAAATGGCGACACCTCCTAGGGGCGATCCGCCCACGGATCGTGGTGACGGCGATGACTAAAAGCGACGTTTCGGGCAATGTCCCTTCTTCATGTGCAGTGTAGGAGGCCAGAGCGTGACCGACGAACGCGTTGGCGTCGTTCATTGGTCATCGAATGAAGCGAAGGGCGTGTTGACGCGTGACGTCACAGTCAGTGCGCGATGACGTCACGCGTCTCGACGTTGCGCATTACATAATGACGTCACGACGCGTAGACGTAACGCGTTATGCAATGACGTCACGACGCGTAGACGTAACGCGTTATGCAATGACGTCACGACGCGTCAACGTAACGCCGCGTCACGCGATGGCGTCACGTCGCGTTACGCGATGACGTAACGCCGCGTTACGCGATGACGTCACGGCGCGTTACGCGATGACGTCACGGCGCGTTCCGCGATGACGTCACGTCGCGTTACGCGATGACGTCACGGCACGTTACACGATGACGTCACGGCACGTTACGCGATGACGTCACGGCGCGTTACGCGATGACGTCTCGGCGCGTTACGCGATGACGTCACGCGATGACGTAAAACTCACCGGTGTCTCCGTGGGCCGAGTGTTCGCAGTCCGAGGCGAGTCGCGGGTGTAAGTGCGACACGGTTTTGTTTTGCTCAGTTCAAAACATCGACACACACACACACATCTACACACACTGACGTGCATGATGTATTAACGCGTTAAATGTATTAAACTACCGCGAGCTGAAGCGATGCCGCGTGGTTTGGCTGCGCGCTCGTCCACAGTGCGGTCTGTACAGTGACGTTAACGACCCGCACTGTACCCACGCCGCCTGCTCTCGGGTCTCCAGGCTGGCCGCGCAGCGTGGGGCCCCACCGCCTCTGTCGGCGTGGAAGAGTAGGCCAAACACCCTGTGGAGGGGCCAACTCGAGAGCTCGCTCCTGGCAAGAAGCGCGATTCGTAGCTGAACTTGCAAGAACTTTGAGGGCTGCAGCGTCCTCTGTGGTTTACTGAACGCAGTGTTACATCTCGCCTGCAGTGTTGTTTGAATGTCCATTGCACCGCTAAGATTATTGGGGTCCGAGACAACGTCCTCCGAAGAGATGGAGCGGTGAAATCAGCTCGTTTCTTCATCGCATGATCGTGAGAGATAGCGATGCTTTGATGCGGATTAACCCTGGCCGACGACGACGATGATGATGGTTGAGAATTCTTGGGTTATATGCATACGACTGTGATTGTACCCGTACCGCCAGGCTGGAGAAACACGCGTTCCCATCGCAGCGTGGCCCACCAACCCCTCACTCAGCCGCGCGTCCACCAGGTGGCGTAGTCGCCACGCGTGTCTGGGGAGCGGTGGCGCAGTGGTTAGCGCGCTGCGATATGAACCCGTCAACCCGAGTTCGATTACCGCTCAACGACGATCAATATCACTCGTGACGGATTGTTTGAACAGGTTCCCGGTGGGCCCTCCCCTAGGTCGACTCGGCCTCAGATGAGTACACGGTGCTGATGTCTACACATGCTGACGTGCACTGTGTACAATTACTATGCCGGCCTTCATAGATGCTCAATAGCAGCACTTGCCCCAACAGTATGTTAATGCCATGCGGTGGTGGTGGGGTCTTTGTGTGACAGTCACATCCACACTCATTTGCAGGACCGTGTGTCTATTTTCTCTGTACTCAAGCATACACTTGAAACCATTCTTTTATTTGACGAGGCAAGGCCCACTGAGCTGTATAAATGATCACCCGAGGATGTGGCTTATCACGTGGAAATGTATTGCAGTCAAATGCTGTCATAAAGCATGCTTCTAAATGTGGAGGGAAAAACTGTAGGACCTCGAGAAAAATCCACGCGTCCACGGGGAGAGAGAGACACACACACAAACTACAAATATGCAGGCAGCTGCTGCAATGCCGAGGTTTGTTTCGGCGCAGATGTGACGAGTGGATCGTTGTCATCGTCACCACCAAAACCAGGAGCACTCGCTCGAGGATGGGGAATGATATCCTCTAGACATAATCAGCATCGTTATCATTGTATCACCACGAGTGTGTGTGTGTGGTCCATGCATTTTGTTTTGGGTTAGATTCTTGCCGTTAAAATGTCCAGTTAATTTTTATTGATCGTGGTGTGGTTGATCCATATTATAGTTTTTTTGGGTTAGATCGCGTACATTTTAAAAACCTATATTATGGATGATATTGGTCATGAATTTTGGACAGTCCCACACAGTGTAAAACATTGTAGTTTACAAAACACTTCTGTGATTGATGACAAATAAAATAAAGCAAGCATTGTCGATTATCACATGCAATTATATGTCATGGTTATTATTTAAACATTCCCACATCAGTAATGTTATTTATGTCATCCAGGAAACAATAATAATAATGCGCTTTTCCAAGTAAATCCTCAGAATCTCAATATCTTTTTGGCAGAGGTTCGTGAATTGATATATGTGGCCAATTGAATTAATCGGTGATTATCTTAGGAGAGGAAACCCAGCTTCCGAGAGAAAGCACGTGCATTCCAGGGGCTAACATTCCGAGCTCTAGCACAGATCAATTCACAATGTATTTTCTCTTCTGCTATCTCCTGCCCACCTTGACAACACAGCGCACATGGGAGTTTTGCAAATCTCTGCGTGATCCACCTACCCTCATCTCCCAAGCACAGGATCAGAGGCATGTGCTGTACCCATGTGAGACCCATGTGTTCATAACACTTAGTTTCTCGATTGGTTTTCGATTGGTTTGTGTGCTTTGCAGGCTGCTGTGTGAGTTAATAGAAGGGCCAGACACGGTACACATCCACCATGCTTTTCAATTATCCTGTAAATTACATCTCGAGCATCTGTGCATTGGTCAAAGCGTGAGGGTATGAATTGTGCCTGGCTCACGCCACCAGACGTCGTCCCCTATGCTGTACACATCCACGTCCACGCTATTGATACGGAACCTGACACCACGGGCAGACATGAGGCCAGACGCGCACAGCAGGCATACATTGCCAATATAAGACGTAGTCTGTCATCTACTCAAGTTTTTTATATGTCAAATATAATCAATCAAACAAAGGTTATCTTAAAATAGGTGTGTTTTCTATTTGTTGGCGTCCCATCAATCTTCTGATAGGGTATTAGTACAAAGTTTAGAATGTGTTCGGTGTAAATATAGCTGGTTCATTTTGCAGTAACAGCACTTCTTAATCTCTGATTCACATGAACCCTTTCCGAGACGCACTGCAAGTTGCAGGGTGGGGTGTCCCATTCATCACTGAATCTCTAGAAACGTGCAAGCGGTTCATCGTTCATTGTATTTAGAGAGGCGTAACGACATTGTGCTCGCCGCAGCGAACTGTAGCGACACGACCACACTCTACGGTAGCTAGCGCCAAACTGTGCCACACGCCCTCCTGCATGGCCTTTTCTTCTGGTTCCGTTCCAATTACTTACACGATGACGTACATATATGTCATCGGCATGGGAAAAGGTTGATAAACAACTCACAATCATATTGGTTACATTTCATAATAATAATAATAATAGATAGGTTTTACTCGGTAACATAATACGAGTAGGATATATCTATAAGTAAATCATGTTAGTGAATGCTAGAAGACCAAAATATATTTTTAAGTCAATACATTATTTTTCAAATCAGAATATTAATTCAATGCTTGCAACAATACATTTGCATGGTTTTGTCTTTACCGTTAGAAAATCCCCTGCAAAGATTAAACATGTTGTGTCCTCTAACTAAATACTAATGGCTCACAACCAACTTCAGACATTGTCGATTATCATATATGATCACATGTCAAGGTTATGATTATTCATTGTGCATTGTTAATGTAATGTTGAATATATTTGTTTTAACACGTTTGGGATCTCGCCCAAACGCATTGTGAAGGAATTAGAATCGCCGTCGTCGACAACATCCAGCTACACGGTGGCAGAGTTTTAAGAGGCCACCGCACCGAGCTCATATAACATGCGGCCAAAGCTGCTCTACGATCGCCATGCTTGAACACGTCCTCCTGGAACACGGCAGTCCGGACAAAAGCTCGGCAGCCGTCGGATTCAACGATATTTCCTTTCGGTTTAACTGCGCGGCTTCTCCACGCCGCGTCACGTGTCTCTGCGCGCGCCGCGTGGCTCCGCCGAGAGCCCGCCTGACCGAAGGTGGATATAAATAATCGCGCGCATGTGACGGGCTGCAGGTCCGCGATGTAAGCGCCCCGCGCTGTCGCCGAACACGAGGGCCCCATGGCAGAGTCTGGCGTGCGGACATTCCGTGTCCCGGCGCGTCACGGCTACTCCGTCAAGTTCTCTCCGTTCTTTCCCGCTCAGCTGGCGTGCGCCGCATCGCAGTACTTCGGCATCGCCGGTAAATGCCGGAGGCTACGCGGCACGCCGTTTTTTTTGTTCTTTCCCCCTGCCAGCGAGACAAAATAGCGTTTTTGTCGCTTGCATTCGGTCCCTCTCCGCCATTGTGATTGTTATTATTCACGCGCCACGAGAGATCGCGTGAACTCCGTGACCCCTTTGGCAGGGTCGCACAGCATAGGGGTGCCTCCTGAAATAGTAACAGGTGCCAAATATACATCGGACGGCAGCACACGGGGTGTGTGTGATCGTGTGATGTAAATCATCTACTGCAGCTTCAGGAAATATAAAGTCTGCGCTGTGCGAGAGAGTGAAGTGATAGCTTCACCCTTGCACAATGACATTTTTATATAGTTTATACAGGCGGTATTTTATAGGTATATTTCAACACTTATTTTCATTGCTTTCAACTGAGGTTGGCAGCGTCGATAGCTCGTTAGCACTGTTGGTCTATAACATGGGGTCATGATACATCTCAAAGATCATGGAATATATATGAAACTTAAGTTCAATGTTGCATTCCTATTGGGGACTTTACCCTATATAAAACTGGCCAAATTTTTTAAAGGGTTGCCCAAAAGCTGGACACACAATCCAGCACAAAAATGACTATTTCAGCGATGCAGTGTTTTCCCCTGACAGCAACTTACATTAAATGTCGTCCAGATACTTACAGGGACACACGCATGTTGTGAAGCCTTACACAATCCATACACGTCCGTGATTTTATTGTTGTCTAATTGTTTGGCATGTGGGAGGAAACTGAAGGACCTTCAGAAAAACAACTTAATCGTTAGGGGTGTGGGGGATAACACTCAACAGGGCAGACAGGTTCATGAACACATTGTGTTTTATTGCCAAAGTTAGGCAAGCGTCCGTTTATCCGGACGGTGCGTTTGGTTGTGCGACCAGGTTTGTTGGGAGTTATTGTTCGCAGGTGACACATTTGGGCGTGCGCCGAACTTTCCGGAGCGAAAAGACGTAAGGGCTAAACTTAACCTCAACAGATGTTATCGCCAACATTCAATGGGTGTGACTTACCGGCAACTGGTAATCCTTTTGGAATGATTTACATTAGCACTGCTTGTTCTCGAAAACTGATGTCCCATTCCTGCATGGGGTGATTGAGAGGCATATTGTATTTATAATGTGGCTGCATTGCCTGCCTCGTGGACAATATCCAAGGCCAAACCTACCTGGGAAATTGCCCATCTCATATTATTAAAGATGCAAGGTCTTCTTACAAAGAACTTGTTGTTACCCCATTAGAGCTATTCATAGAAGAGGTCACTGTCATAGGCGCCTGTCGGGGAACACAAACAAATGAAGAGACATCATACTGGACGCGCGTCCCTTTACGGTGTGATGGCTCGTGGATGAAACGGGCGACGGAATGGTGGCCAAAGTGAGTAAGGAATCCAAGAAGACCACTACTGCGGAGATGGAGCGACGAGATCAGTTGGCATGCGGGAGTGAGATGGGTGGCACCAGCACTGGACCGTAAGGGACAGGTTGACGGCATGGGGAGGTCTTCATCTAGCGGTGGATAGACCATGGCTGATGGCGAGATGTTATCTCCCTCGCCGAGGATGCAGGTGGCCCTGGGTTCGATCCCAACCCTGGACGAACTTTTATCAATAATATTGAGTAGGTTTTTGACGATGTGCTTTATACCGCGTGTTGTTCAGTACGATGTCCGACGTTTCGCTCCGCCTGCTGGGACCTTCAACAGGTGCGTGTTGAAGCTTCCAACACCGGACTGGGTTTAAGCTCCCAGAATGTGGAACGAATCGTCGGACATCAACATGCAGTGAAATACAAACGCATCAGAGAGCTGTACTTTTATCAAACTCAATGCAGCGTCCCCTTTGGATTATAATCAGACGTCACATCTCGTTAGAATTTCCACCAGAGCCTGAATGACAACCACTTAAAAAAATGGCTGTGCAAATGCAGAAACCCCATGTGAACTCTTGTGCCTGAGCTCATGCGTGTGTGGTGTGTGGTTTGCACGCAGGGTCTGGGAGCCTCTTGATTCTGCACCAGACCCCAGAGGGAATTACCGAACTGCGGAGGTATGCCCACATGTGTCTGTACACACACCGCTCGCACACATGCACCACATGTTGATCAAGAATCCTTCCACTTATAAGGCCCTTCACAGTCTTGGGTCTTAATATTTATGGGAAAGGGTTAATGTCATCTGGCCCTTCTGTATGGGATAGAGTGTTTCTCCCTCGCACGACGGAATTTCTCCAGGTGCTCTGGTTTCCTCCAGGTGCTCTGGTTTCCTCCTACACATATAAATCCTCATTGGGTGGCTGAAAACACGTGAATAAAAATGCACCTCTGTGGGTTGTGGATTGTGTAGAGTTGTTCTTGAGAAACAGATTGTTTTGCGTGAGTGACGCAGCTCTGTGAACGCACAAAGTTATTATGAAGCCAGGGGGTAATGCCTGAGCGGACCTTTCCAGAGGGCGGGTGTCAAACATATAACAGCTGCGTGATCTATCACGCGGAAGCAAGCGATAGTTTGAGTAGAGTCCAAATGGCATTCATGTAACAACTAAATACAACTGCATCTTTTGATGCTGTAGAAAAAAATGGGGCATGCACATCACGGGGACAAAATGAAACTTAATATAATGTTTATATAATTCTAGATTTGAAGCTTTCGTGACTGCAAGGATTCATACTCTTAGGTTTTTTCGGAAAAGTCATGTAGGTAAAAAAAACAGAAATAATAATAAATATTATTTTATTTCTATTATTTTTTATTTTTTACCTACGTGACTTTACCGACAAAACCTAAGAGTATGTTTATATAATGTTTTTAAGTGAGGTGCGATTGCAATAATGCTGTGTACGGCTCGTAAGGTGACAAAGGTTGCAACGAAAAGGTTTCGGTGATCTAGTCTTGCGCATTGGGATCCTCGGATTGAATGCGAATTATAGATGTGAATTATTATTAGTAATGATAACGCACTGTAAGTCATGCTCTGACCGATGTGTCTTTGTTTAAATGTCCTGTTTAATTATCACAGCAGTGAGCGCTCAGTTCCCAAATATTTTATGAAAATAAATGGCCATTTTTATTAATATCATTGACCATCACAACCTCTTAAGCTCTTGATGTTCCGCTATATATGCACGTGAGAATCTCAACTTTGGTTATGCTTTGGATAGATTAGTCTCCACTGGCCATGGCAATGTGGAATTTCCCACATGGGCTCAGGACTGCCAAATTGAGATGAGCATGATCCACCAATTAGGAACATGGATTAGAGAACACACGTTGGGTCAAGGCATAATTCAAACTGTCAATAAAATTGAGTGGGCTTGGGCAGGATGTGTCCGCTGGCAGGGATGTACACCGATGGTCAATATTAACAATGGGAGTAGTTGCCAGGGAGAGGAAGACGTCTTAGAGGACCTCCACGGAGGAGTCCCAGTGATTGAAATCAGCTCCTGTGCAGTTGTTGGGTGGAGTATCACATCGCAGGATCGTGAGAGATGATGGTGGCTTGGGTAGGCCTTCATCTCGCTGTGGGTTTATCGTGGCCGAAGATGTTCACCATCAGCCACACCTCCGATGAGCACGGTTGGCTACGTACGGTGCGAAAGAAGTTCATACGCACATCCAGCAGTCTTCTGACTTTGCTATCATGCGTCGATTTGAGCGTGTTGTACGTTGAGCTTCTTTCGCACCATAGGTGCTCATCGGAGGTGCAGGGGGAAGGGAAACTAACTCAACACAAAAATCAGTTCTAAAGAAATGAGCTTTCAATCGATATTTAAAAGTACGTAGCTCCAGTAGTCTCCTGAAATCGGACGGAAGAGCGTTCCAGACGGCCGCAGTTTTCAATCTACGCGGAACGCGCGTACGACGGCGGCGGTGGCGCGTGCCGCTCTCGCAGGTTCGAGTGGAACGACAGCCTCTTCGACGTGGCGTGGAGCGAGGACAATGAGCACGTGCTGGTGACGGGCTCCGGCGACGGCTCCCTGCAGCTGTGGGACACGTCGCAGCCTGAGGGGCCCCTGCGAGTCTACCAGGGCCACAGCAAAGAGGTGCGGCTGGGGGATACGTGCAGGCGTGCTCGTGTGTTGTGTTGTTGCTGCTGTGAGAAAATGTGCTTACGTGGAATGTGCTTATATTTGTCGTGGGTTCAACTGAGGCGCAAACTTGATCTTGGAGGCAACACATTTATTAACTATCACCACAGGGTAACGATTAACATTACGGGATAACGACTTAGGGTGGTGACCGCCACGGCTAACTACACGCACCCTCGATGGGATAACTCTTCAGTCGGACCAGGACAGCTAAGACGCTGCCTGGTCTACGTGCGCGGAGATCGGAGACCGAGGAGCGAGGAGCGAAGACAGCGGATTTCTTCCCAGAGATGAGCAGCTTCGATCGGGCACGGAACTCGGCTTTTATAGGCTCCTTCTCGAAGCCTCTGGCCCCTACATCACGTGTTTCTCTCACTCCCCTCCTGAGCCCCCCTTGCCACCTCGTCCTGTCACGTGCCCTCTCAGGTTCACTCAGAGTACCATGGCATCGCAATAAAAAAAAGATGGTTATCTATCGGCTTAACTCAGCTAATCCCCTGCCCAACCGCCCGCGACGCCACAGGCCTGCCGCTTGCCCCCCCCCCCCGACCCCTTGGCTCCTCCCCCCCTAGTACCCTATATAAACACGTGTCTCTAAATTGCCCTCTTCATATGCTACAGTAATTCTTGCTGGAGCAGTTACACCTGATGACGGATGCTTGTGTTGCTTCCGAAACGTCGTGATTTAATTTAGTTTTATTTTTTATTTAGTTTTCACCTATGTGACTTTACCGAAAAAAACAAAAAGAGTATGGACCATGTCCTCGCCCGACCTCTCTCCCACCGTCACCAGGGCTATGCCCCCTAGAAAGACTTTCCATGGCATACTCGCTCTGGCGTTAGAGAGAGACTTTACACACGCAGTTGCACTCTTCTCTCGGTACTGGCGCTACACGACCGTGACTCCATATACATCGCCACATATTCACTACTACGCCTGCTATTTTTTTTTTTGTTTTACCAGGTAAAGCCCGCTGGGCTATATCGCTCTTTTTCAGGAGCCACCTGGCCACAATTGATAGCTCAATGTTGAAATGTATAGCAGCCAAATGCTCTAAATGCACGTTCATTAATGTGGAGGGAAAAACCGGAGGACCCGGATAAAAAATCTACACGACCACGGGAAAAGAGGCACGCAAACTCCAAATATACAGCAGGCGTCAGGGTGGGGATCACACCCACAACCTCCTGTAGACCAGGCGAGGTAGTCAACATCCAGCTTCTGTGCTCTATTAGCCTGTGAGCCGCGAGAGTTCAAAGTGAATGGGCGAGGGAAGTCTGAGTTAATATCTCAGCGACTGTCAAACACTACTCGGCTCGGAGTTAAACGATATAAGGAGTTCAGACTTAGTTCGGCATGAGATGGCCAAACAAAAGTTACCGTTCTGGCAAAGATCCAGGATAGTACGCGGAAAGTGCTGAAAGGGACTTCTTCTCCTGTCGCTGGCAGGTCTTAAAAAAATGTGTTGAAGGAAGTTTTACGACTGTGCTTGAAGGCACAGCTTTGTCAGCATGCGCTATCCCCACTACTGCTGCGTGGGTGGGTGGGAGACAGACACCTATCTTAGGAATGTTCATTCATCGTCACGTCACTGCGTCGCGCGCTTTCAGATGCGCTTCTGCAGCCGTGCGGAACGCTCTTCCGATATTCGGAAGCCACTGGCGCTATGCTTTTTAAAATCTAGATTAAAAAAACTCATTTTGTTAGAACTGCTTTTTGTGTTTTAGTTTGTTCTACCCCTGCACCTCCTATTATCACGGTTGGCTACGTACGGTGTGAAAGAAGTTCAATGTACACACATGCGTTCTCCATAACACTGCATGGGTGGGAGATACCTGTATTGGGAATGTTAATTCATCACGAGGGCATCGTTGTTGCCGTGACCCACAGTGGCAGAGCTGGGATGAGACATTCATTCTGTGCGATGGGTTTATCGGCCTCCGTTACAGATAAGCGAGATTGAAAAACGTAAAAATGCATTAGCGGACGGGTCAAATCCTGACGCACTATTAGCCGTTGGTGTAAGGGCCGCAGCGGAAAATGCCTTTTTCTGAAGTCAAAACAGATTGTGGTATTTATGCATTTATTTCCCCTATCAACCCATTAAAAACAACACGACGGATCTATAAGCTCCATTAGGGACCCAATTGTGTTGGCGTGAGCATTCACGTTTTATTTTTTAATGTTATTGGATGGCGCACCATTTAAGTTAATTGGATTACAAAGAGGTCAATAATATGGTTGATTTAAATTGCTTGAGTTCTGACCTCTGTTTGATGCACTGTTTTGTTTTGGGGTGATTATTGTTTTGTGGTCGCTTTCCATGAATACTTTAAACATTTTTCATTTCCCTTCATTCTTTGATCTGCCGATAATATGAAATTTTAATTATGTATCGACTCGGGACATAATCTAAAATACAACGCAAGCAACCGTTCAATACGCGCTCACCTTGCATTGCAGCGCGTTTCCGTTTGTGTGAATTTGCGACCGCTCGTTGATGATTACGACGATGATGATGATGATGGGCGCAGGTCTACAGCGTGGACTGGAGCCAGACCCGAGGGGAGAACCTCGTGGTGTCGGGATCATGGGACCATACGGCCAGAGTGGTGCGTGAGCACGTCTCGTTGACAATTAGTGTTGTTCCGTTTCGGTTTATAGCGTTGTCGATAATCGCATGGAAGACAAAGAGACACGATCGATTTTTCCTTTTACCAAACTTCGCCAACCAGCGCTCACCATTTTGTACAATTTTACAATTGTTGTAAAGCGCCTTGGTGTATGGCGCTTTATAAATCTACTAGCTTTACTACCCGGCTTCGCCCGAGACTTGGATTCTTGTCTTGGATTAGTACACGGCCTACGCGGAGGATAGGGGTGGGGGATGCGTGACGTCAGCAGGCACACTGCATGACGCTGCCGCATGCGGTGACGTCACAGATGTGACGTCACCGCATGCGGCAGCGTCATGCAGTGTCACAGATGTGACGTCACCGCTCACTTGCCGTGCAAAATATATCCATTATTGCACCCCCCCCCCCCCCCCCCCCCCAAAATACAAAAGTCTATTTTTATACTTTTTGCATGGTGTACAGTCTGGAAGCTACCCACATGCCAAATTTCAAGTTTGTTGCATGTCGGGAAGTATGCTAAACATTTCGAACAGTCACACATTTTCACAAATTTCCCTTTCACATATATATTAAATCTATATAAGAGAAGATGAGAAGATATGATGCACGGTTTAACAAGCTCCGTTGACCAATAGACCGTGACGAGGCCTTTATCCGCCAGTGGGCAAGGCCTGTCAAATTTTCGAACCATGTATTTTGTATGTAATCGGTTGTCGTGTAACGAATCGCGTTTGAACATTCTCGCGTACCGATCGGTTCGCGAAACTGCGAGAGATGGGCGAGACGGCCCGGCGAGGCCTTCACGCAGCGCTGGATCGATCGTGGCGGCGACGACGGCGACGACGGTATTATTTCGTGACGCGTGGCTCCGCTGAACGTGGCGTTGTTTACCGCCGCAGTGGGACCCCGCGGTCCCGTCGTCTCTGGCCGAGTATCGCGGGCACGAGGGCGTCGTGTACAGCACCGTGTGGTCTCCGCACATCCCATCTTGCTTCGCCTCCGCGTCCGGTAGGCATTGTTCGTCTCGCGGAGGAAGGCGCCGCGATGAGTTAACGCAAGGCCGCAAGGAGACATCCGCTACATTTGTACTCGTTGATGAGGTGTGGAAGTGTTAAATGTCTGTTTACTCAATCAGTCTTTCTTTTACGTACCAATGTCGTCCTCAATAAAGTAGTGCATCGGTGCACATTACAGCAGGATGGGAACGGTACAACAGGAGGAACAGCAACAGGAATGAAACAACAGTATTTGGCTGCTTTAAATAAGCCACTTCGTTGAGCTATCATTTGTTGCCGGGTCGCTTCTGAAAAATATCTCAATAGCTCAGTTGGCCTTACCTGGTTCAATAAAAAAACTTTTCATATTTATCAGAGGCAAGCCTTTCCATAAGGCAACAGCTGTTGACATCCCAGAACCTGCTACTTTTTTTATCTATCCCGGGATCCCTCGATGCTCTTTTTCCAAGCGCAATCTGCTTGCTGCAATCGCTGTGCTGCTCCGGCCGACCAGCCGGCCAGCCAGCAGGGGAGAGGGCGGGTGGCTTCCTTCCTGCGCGGACATTACTCACTGTCAGTTTAACACGTAGGCTGTCGCCTGATGAGGCTGGTTGTGATTACCGGCGAAACGTCACGGTGCTGGAATTGTAAATGTTGTGGGTTTACTCCCCAACACACCGCTGTGCTGAACTAGAAACTCATTGGCACGTTTTGTTTACGTGACAAACCTGACTGATTGGTTGTGTCCGTTGCCGGCGGGTTTAACGACACATTTATATTCACGCGATCTAACCCAAACAAACCTCTAATGGGTTGCTCGTTGTGCTGAATGTTCTCTCGCGCTGTGCGCGTGCACGCCGCTTGCCAGGCGACCAGACGTTGCGAGTGTGGGACGTGAAGAGCCCGCACGCGGCGCGCATCGTCATCCCCGCCCACCAGGAGGAGGTCCTCAGCTGCGATTGGTGCAAGTACGACCAGGTGACCGCACGCGGTCGCGCAGCGCTACAGCCACGAGCTAAACGGAGGTGGCGCCGTTGAGAGCTTGGACTGGAATCCCGCGCATCCACCTGTGTTTAATCTGGGTTGTTAAGTAGAGAGAGTTGATGGTTACCGATGACCGCACAACTGAATAACTCCTTTAAAAAGTTTTTTTTTTTTAAACAACGGTTTAATTCGCGGTCGCCTGAGACACGTGTGGCGCCTGCTTCTTGGGCGAGGCGATTCGAGAGTTTAGGGATCGCGGCGTTTTTGACCTACACAAATATATATTTAAATAATAAGGCGCCCGTACAAAATGTAAATTGCTTTAAAGTAGCGAATTAATTGATTAATTTATGCCGTGTTTGATACAGGCATGCATTGTCAGTGGATCTGAGTACGTGTGCAAAATGTGGAATTGATTAGACAACAGGAAGTAGACTAAATGTTGATTACAAGATTTGACCACGGCACAGGAGTCAAGTTAAGTAAAACCGTTGAAAATAAAAACCTCACACCAGAGGTCACTTGCAGGGCTTTCAGAGGTAGCTCTGTGTTGTCCGCTTCCATGGACCGTTCTCTTAACATGAAGGATTACATTGTTCTGCGAGAAATCCAAATGGATGCTCCTTCTCATAACACGACGCCAATATCCTAATCTGCATCTTAAATTTGAATGAAAAAAACCGGGTAATCACTCCAGCCAGACTGCTCTTGTGATGTCACTTCGATGCATCTTGTCAAACAAACTGGGGTAACGCTGCAGGTGTCTCTGCATCGGGAACCGTTGGGTTTTTGTTTTACTTGCATCTTTAATGAAAATAAAAAAATTTTCCCGTGAACGTTTCTAGAATCTGCTGGTCTCTGCCGCCGTGGATTGTGGCATCCGCGGCTGGGACCTGCGAAACATCCGGCAGCCGGTGTTTAGCCTGCTCGGACACTCGTACGCGATACGGAGAGTCAGGGTAAGGGTTTCAGATTCTAGGTTTTTATGGCGTTTGTTTAAATGGCTCGTTTGTATGTGTGTTTACATTTTTTCACACCGTACATAGCCAAACGCGCTTATCGGAGGTGTCGGGGAAGGACAGCAAACTAAACACAACAATCAGTGAAAAGAAATAAGCTTTCAATCTATGTGATTTAAAAGTGCACAGCACCAGTGGCTTCCTCATATCGAAAGGAAGAGCGGTCCAGACGGCCGCAGAAGTGCATCTTAGAGCACACGATGCAATGACCGTCTTTTTTCGACGGTTAGACAAAATCCGCTGCGAGGATGACCAGAGTCTGCAGGATGGTTTATGCTCCCTGACGAGATGGGCAAGGTATTGTGGTTCTTTTGTGGTCAGCGCTTTGTGTGTAATGAGTGTGACCTTTTCAACTCGGTTGCCTTCCATCGCAACTCATGTCAACTGCTCCAGAGTGCAGTCGAGCCAAGGAGATCCTCCACTGACAGCGTTTTCCCTGTTTGGCACACAAGGTACACGCTGCACCGGCCTGCAAATCGTTATGACCTGCCAGTAGGGGGTGATGCAGTACACACACAACGTTGTCGCATTTCCGACTGCATAGCCGCATGCGAGTGAATTAAACCCGGATGTAGTGAATTTTGGGTGGATATGGGTTAGCCGCATGTATGCAAAATCTCCAAAAAAATTACTCGAATAAAGCAAGGGAACCCTATAATTGATTGGCTATATTCACTGTTGCGTAAAAAAAAAAAATCCTGAAATGAATCGCAAACCTGAACTAATCCAAGTCAATCACCAATGGGATACATGTTTTCAACTCTCACAGCCACGGGTGGGTTAGGCCACGTGGTCGTGGTTTTGTTCCACAATTATTTCCATGAGCCCCTCCCCCACCCAACAAGATTATCACATTTACAAAGATATTTTCTATCCGTGCCGACATCGAATCGTGACCGATGAACCACCTCACTGGTGGCTAAAGACTCCATGACAAAGTTCAACATCAACGCATGACGGCGTCTCACTCTAACTTGCTTTGAGTTTAGTCAGGGCGTGAACTCCACTCAAAATCCGAGTTCATTACCTAGTGAAGCTCAACTGGGTTTTAGCAAACGGTTTGTCGTCCACTGAGTCGACCCCCCTAGCGAGGATTTGGGGCCTCCGGTTATGAGCGGAGCTTTCTGCCCCAGCTCCACGCTGGCTCATTAACGATCATCAGTCGCCACCGTAAAAGTGAAGCCACCAGCTCGTTTAACGCAACGTGTTTCTATTTTGCAGTGTTCTCCATTTCAGCCTACCGTCTTGGCTTCCTGCTCTTACGACTTCTCAGTGAGGTGAGCAGAAGCCTTGTCTCTCTCTCTCTCTCTGGCCACATCTGTAATTGTGCGGTGAGGTGGTTGAACCCCCAGATGATTGCGTCAGGATTAGCAGAGTGGTGCATCGCCGTGACGATGCCTTCTTCATTTTTGTGAATCGGATATTGCGTTGTTCCATATTCCGTGCTCTGTTCTTATCTCTCTAATGACAGCAGTGGGGAGTAGATATTTAGAGGGGGTGGAGGTGGTTACATTGTTAACCTTTTAATACAGGTTTTTTGACTCTTAATGTTTAAATAATATTTTCATACAAACATATGAAACAATTCGACTATAGCCTAATTCATAAGAAGCTATTATTATAAGAATACAATTTAAACTTCAAGTCATGTTTAAGTCAATCAGAATTAAATAAAATAACGAGATGGGTGGTGTCGTCACAACCATCACCACTCGGCTGGTTAAACGTCCGCTTATTTTGATCAAATTAACAAAATTAATAACATAAAAGATGTATTTTTACACATCCCATCCTTCCCACAACTGTGGGAAGGAGAAGATACGGCCCCATTTGTATTTTGTTACTAACGCTGTATTCTCCACTTCAAAAACATCGTGGATAAGATCACATTTTGAACGTGTAAGATCTTTGAATGCAACATTGTTGAAAATTTACCAAAAATATAAACACAGGTGTGCAGCATTGAATATTTACTCAATTAACACACGCGTTGGGCTTAATGTTTTTACTCGTAAAATGGAAAATAGCAACCTCAGATTACGGACGTGTTTAACGTTTAAAATGGGTGTTTTGTAAGCGATACGGCCCCTCTTTTATTTCGCGTCCGTTGTTGCGTGCGTGGGCTTCGGCGCAGATTGTTTTTCCGTCGCACTTCCACGCGACACGGGCGGCCGCGCTCTTCATTTGCGGAGGCTCTTTACCTCCGCGTGACATTTGGAACGATGAATGCACTGCCGGTATCGCCGCCACGGCGAGTGCCTTTTTATCTGCGGCGCTGACAAATGCGCCCGCCCGGATCTTATTTCAGATGCGGGGAGGAGAGAGCTCGCCTTTGCGCTCGGTTTTTATCTTTTTTTGTCACAATGGATGCGTGGGACTCTCCGTTCTGGCTATGGGGGCTCTCTCGCACTCAAGCGCCCTCCGCGCTCATCATTTTGTCTTGGCCACATCGACCATCAGACGGGGGTCTCGCTTCGCGCGCGTCTGTGCGTGCGGCACGGAGCGCAATGTCGCCATGGTAACGCCACTCGCGCGCGAGCAGCAGCAGCGGCGGCGAGTCCCGAGTGCTCGTTCGTGGCTTTTATTGTTGAGCTTCCGTTTTGAAGCGAATTGTTACATTCGCGATCGTCGGTGGCAGAAGCGGCGGCGGGTGCAGTGGTTCGCGAGCGGCGCTTTGAAGCTGCAGACCCGAGTTCGATTCCCGGTCACGGCGGTGACGAGTGATATCTGAACCGGTCCCGGGTGCGTCCCCTTCTCTAACCGACACTGACTGATCAGCATGAAGTGCGGTCAAACAGCCTCCTTGATTGACATGGCGTTGTTATTACTACACAGTACATGTAGAGGATTGTGACTGTGTGACCGAAACTCTGATGGTCTGAAATGTGGCATCACTATAAGCTTAGCCTATCCTTAGAACTTGCGAGAACAAGTTAAAATGTAGGCCATTCAACGCAATGGCCTGGTCGTTGATTGGTTTTACTCGTAGGGCGGGGACAGCCAAAACTTCCATTTTGCTTTACAATCTCCTGATAAACACCTAGAAGTCTACGGTTATGTTCATCAGTTGAACAAGTGATTTGCCTCCAATTAGCATGGTTGGCTACGTACGGTGTCAAAGAAGTTAAAAATACATGTAGCCAATATAAATCTAAGACTACTGGTATATACACTCTCAACTATAGAACATATCTGGGCTTCTTTCGTGGTGTGATTGCAGAGAAAGCTAAAACCCTCCACAGGGACTGTCTGGAGATCCCTCGGGTGGAGGTCCTCCAGCCAGCCTTGGCGTGAGTTGAACATTGCAGCCCTGCACCTTTACCCGTGGAATATAGCTGCATATTCTACACGTAAAGTGCAGCTCGAATGTTTTATTCCATCTATGGGAATTCATATTCAGCCGCGCCCAACTATTTTTATAGCAGTGCTATTAATATCAATATTCAGTGTTGTGTTTATTTTCTCTTCGCCACCTTGGCACCTTGAGAATGATTTCGTCCGAGGTCTCGTAACGATAAAAAATCCTCGATTAAACAATTAGGCAAACAGCCTTTCAACAACAGCAACTCGTGTCTCAACTGTCACCAGCACGTGTGACTAAACTCCACTCCCTGTTGACATCAAGTGCAACCTTTTCACAGGACTATAAAAATACATATACAAAATTATAGAAAAAAAACGTCAGTTCATACATGTAATGCTCAATGCACACTTAGTTGGTATTTTATATTTTCATATCAACAAGAGTGGCTATTCATGATATTTTTGAGCTTTCATCTTTGCTCCCCCCCCCCCCGCCCACTTCGTAAAACATGCATCTCTACGCTCCAAGTCTTTTCTCACAGGTTCCGTTCTGAATGTCTCTTGTACTTTTCACATCTGCAGCCTTTTGCCGGGAGCTATTTTAATTTCACGGCCTACAAATATAATAATAATAAAAGCCCTTTGCTACGCGATACAAAGCCGTGAACAAATCCCGAGCGCGCTATCGTTGCATCCCAAAGCGGCAGCGGTGGCGGCGTTGCCCCGAGCCCTCTCTTTGCACCGCCGGCCACCGCCGCGCAGAACCATGGCGCCGGGAGCGCCGTTTGTGCCGTTTTGTGCCGTTTGCCGATCCGATGCCGGCACCTCGCGTCATTTTTCTCTCTCGCTCACGGACAACGGGGGAAGTTGCTTATCTCTCGGAGCAGGAAGCCGCCGCCCCTTCTGTGTCGCGAGACGCTTTTTTGAGCGGCTGGTGCGGCCGCATAAAAGGATAATAAACGAGCGTTGTCGCCTTCGCTGTGAATGGGCTCCATTTGTCACCGCCACCGATTTTTTTTTGCAGTCGCAGCGTTCGGCGAGGGAGAGAGCGCTGTCGGCGCACACTGCACCACACCGGCGCGTTTAGCATTCCGTACGATTCGATGGACCAGACCGCTGACGGAGCGGCCGCTTGTCGGCCCATACTAAACTAAACTATTCAACTAAACCATTTTTATTTCACCAGGAAAGGCCCACTGAGCTATAAAGCTCTTTTTCAGAAGCGACCTGGCTATCACCAATGATTGCACAACGAAGTGGCTGATTTGTGGAAATTTACAGCAGCCCAAATACTCTAAATGCGTGATGTCGATTCTCAATGTGGGGAGGAAAACCGGAGGACCCGGAGAAAAATTCACGCGACCACAGGGAGAACACATGAACTTCAAATACTTCATCATCATCCTAAGGGTTAAAAAGATAAACGTTTCACGCGAGACAAAGTTCGCAGATTTATGCTCCCACCGAGTCAGAATCATGACAGCGATGAATTCTGGCAAGCGAGCGACTTCCACTTAACACAGTGTGCAATAAAACCCATTTAGCCATACCCAGGCCTTATGTATTATATCCCTGTTCTCACAAGACCAGAGCGCAGATATGCACGCACCATGAATCGTAAATATCATCAGCCATTGTCTATCCACATCTGGACGAAGGCCTCCCCACGCCGTCACCGTCCCAAATGCTCCAGCGGTGCGAGCAACTATCTCGCTCGGCACAACGACCGATCGATCTCATTGCTCTACCTCTGTGGCGATATGTTAACTTCCTCGCCTGGTATGCAGGAGGTCGGGAGTTCGATCCAGACCCTGACGCCTCTAAGTTTGGAGTTTGGCTACGAAACATTTCCACGTGATAAGCCACTTTGTTGAGCTATCATTTGTGGCCAGGTTGCTTCTGAAAACGAGCTATATAGCTCATTGGGCCTTACCTGGTAAAATACAAACTAGTTTAGTTTTTTGACAGTTTTAAGTGACAGCATCAAGTTTTTTCTTCTTCAAAAGCCGTAGAATATTCTTCTCGTTTGTAGTACTTGCACAAAATTGTGATTTTTAGCTCACAACTCAGGATTCGGTGTGCAACCTTCGAAACACATTAAATCATTTATGCCCACAGCTGGACTCGATAACCTCAGAAAAAAGGCCTTGAAATTGTATGATATCCCTCTCAAACAATACACACAGATCTTTTTTCTCCTTTATGTTAGCCGCTTAACCCACACTTTTTCCCAGCCCTCTTTAGTTTATTAAAATGAAGAACTGCCTTAACATGAAATGCGTACAGTCGAGCAGCAGTATGTTTTGTTATAGTGTGCCATGCGTCGGAAATGTGTATAAATACTTCTTTTTAAATCCCTGATGTTAGTTCAACAAAAATGCATTTATGTAATTGACATTTTTAAATAACAAGGAAGAAAGATCACACGCACGCATGGATTGGATTCTCTTAACCCTTCTCCATCGTGCAACGGTCCTCGGATGTATTCGGTTGCCACTGTAGACGATACGTCCCAGCTTTCATCACGAGGTGATGTCGCGTGGCGCCGCACCACGTGTGACGTCGCGGGGTGAGGTCATTTGTGATGACGTCATCGAGAGGGGGGGGGCGAGCACATGTCGCGTGACATCATCATCTTGGCTGACAAGGATAATCCCTATAGTTCTGCTTTTCACTGCCAAGTTTTCGATAACTTTTTATTTTATAAGGCCTCAATGCCGACATCATTTTACTCAAATTTGATTTTGGAGCGTGGACCAAGCTTAAATCTACAAACTAATATAAATACCAAAAACATGCTGACTTAATGAACACTGCTGGTGTGGTCACTTGATCTGGCTTCGTCTCCTTTCGCAGGTTTTGGGATTTCCAGGCGCCCGTTCCCCTGCTCCAAACGGTGGAACACCACACGGAGTTTGTTTGTGGCCTCGACTTCAGCATTCACACACCTGGGCAGGTAACGTCGCGCATCAGGTGCTCAGCCATAAACGATTAGAGGCCGTGGGAGCATGCTCTGCCAAACCCAGATGGCATGTTACATAGCCTGGGATGCCAATTAGAATTAGAATATTTAGACTGGAGGAATCCGATAACCTATGCAGCTCTTCCTCACAGATGTCTAGTATGGGCGGGTCAGCGATGTTTTGTGATTATCCATTCGTGGTTTTTCTATTTGGGCCCTGTCATGTGAATATGGAAGTTCCACTTTTGGCTTATGGCATCTCGTGGAGGTGATTTCCACCCAATTGCCCACTCGAGCATCGGGCAATTATTTAATCAGTGTTTGCCCATGAGCCAATTTTTTTGAGGTTCTGCGTTTTAACAAATTTTGATGAGTTTTCAGGCCTTTGTTAATCCACTGCGAGATGAAGGCCTCCCAACATGTCGTGTGTCATGGGAGTTGCCTGACCATTCTTCACTGGAATGGTCACTATGAGTTGACAAAGCGGAAGCCCACGACGGGTCCAGATATCACGCGCCAATGCTGTTTACTGTGGTCGGGTATTGAATTTAGGTACATTGGGTTCATGGCGCAGAGCGATAACCACTACACCACGCCGTAACTAAATTCTTAATATAAAAAATGCACTTATGATAAAATCCATCTTTGAGGCTTGACATTTATAGACAATTCTAATATAATTATACAGTCCCATTTTCCTAATGCACTCTGTCATTCTTTGGTGTGTATAAAATGTTATACTTTCCAGCCTTCTTTCAATCTACGACTAGATGAAGGCCTTTCCACACCTTGTGGTCATTCACGGTGTTTGACCATACTTCACCACGCTGGTCATTGTACCGTGGGGGGCGGTGATGTCAGCTGATTATTGCAATCAAACGCAGGCCACGTGGTTCGTCGTTCATAACAGTGTGCTAACCGCGGCACCACCGCTCCACCGTGTATCTACGTACAAGCATGGACATTTGTCAATCCACTGCTGGATTAGCCCCCCCTTCCCACGCCGTGCAGGTTGTGGGGGTTGTTTGACCGTACTTCACCACGCTGGTCGGTGTGGGTCGATGAAGGTGGGGGCCACAGAGGGGGTGGCACCATAGTAGCACTACAGCTTTGTATTCTGCTCTATAGATGCTATTTCTCTGTATCAACATCTTTTCACCTCGATAGTCCCTTGAGATCGAACATCTCCTTTGTAAGCGTGTCCAGGGTATCAGTTAATAAATAATTATTTGTATTTGTAAGGCACATTTCATCCGTAGATCCCAATGCGCCCCGTGCATGTTAAGCAGGAATGAGACAGAACATGCAGGGTAAATGGCCAGAACTAGCCAAGGGAAAAGGCCAATCGAAAGAGTTTGGTTTTCAAGGCCGACTTAAACATATCTAATGGTTCTGATTGGCTTATTAGCAAAGAATTCCAAAGCTTGGCAGCTGCACTCCAAAAAGCCCAATCACCCCAGGGAAATGAGGTTTGACCTTTGCTCGATCAGCAATCATTCACGGGTTTTTGTTGTTGTTTGGTATCACCATTATAGTTAAAGGAAAGAGCCGATGACGTATTCATTCATTTTAAACATCTTTATTTTGGAACAATGCTCGTGCTGATGCGTCAAGAGGGATAGGATATGTGGCGGAGTGTTGTTTCTTTTCTTGTGGCGTCGCTGCGCCCGGCTGACTGGCACCTGCGCCAGGTGCGCGGCAACGGGAGGACAAAAAGGGAATAAGTGAACGTCACCGCAGGAACAACATCGCGGTGATGTTGAAACAAGGATGAATCACAGCATCCGGGCAAATTGTCGCATTTGAAAAGGCCCTCTCCATTGTGCTCCGTACTCTGTTTCTATATCGTAGTAATTGTTTTGCATTCAGCGGAAGAGGTTTATAGCAGTGCGATCGTGACCATGCGAGCGACACTGATTGTGGAGCGCATTGTAAACGACTGTAGCCTGCGCTGCTTTCTACGGAGGAGGAATAGCAAAACTACACAGACTCACTCGTGATGCCCGCTCCTCGTGCCCAGCACACCTTGACGTTGTCATTTAGCTCCTAAATATATTGCCATACGAAATAATAGAATGGTTTCTAATCTGCATATAGACTCAAAAAAATGTTTTACTTGTTAAGCTGTGATCAGCTAAGCAATTTTTATTTTGCCAGGTAAGGCCGACTCGGCTATAAAGCAATTTTTATTTCAGAAGCAACCTGGCCACATACTGATAGCTCAACGAAGTGGCTTATCATCGGGAAATTTATAGCAGCCAAATACTCTAAACACGTGATGTTGATTCTAAATGTGGAGGGAAAAAATCGGACGACCCGGAGAAAAATCCACCGTGACCACGGGGGAGAGAGACACGCTTTGTCTTCCTGCATACCAGGCGAGGTAGTTAACAGCTCGAATCGGCGAATTTAGCGGTGAGACCGTGATAGTTTCCGCCGCCCTTGGTTAGTCGTTTCCGGTGGGTTGTGTCCACGCGGCGCTTACGAGCGGCCACGCAAGGCGGCTGGCGCTGGCCGGTCGCAGGCGAGGGGCACGTGTTGAAATATTTGCCAAGCGGCCGGGGAGCGCCGCCTCGCCGAACGGAACCGCCAGCCAGCGTTGGCGCGTCACCGCCCTTCCCGTTTGACGCGGCTGGTAATTTAATTGGAAAACCGAGGCGATGAGCCGTGGCGCTAAGAAAGACGCCTTTGAGGATTTTTGACAGGCGGTGACACATTGGAGTGATCCGTGCTGCGAAAGGAGGGGCTGGGGTGGGTTGGTGGAGGGGGTGGGCGGTGCTGTTCAAACACCGCTCGCGCGCTGCCTCGCTAGGCCAACACCGCCGGTCGCGTTTGTTGTGACGTTACTATGGGTTGTCTTTTCTCTCTGCACCGGCAACAAGGTTTGAGCAGTGATAACACGCACGGCGATTCATCGATCTGCTCTCAGAGTGCAGGTGCTGTGCTGTGTGTGTCGTGGTCTAGGATATGAATTTGGCACGGTACTTTTTGAGTGGGGGGGGCGGGCGGGGGGACACCGTTGATGGAAAGGTCATGTGGTCAGGTGGGGGCGGTGCCCGCCAAAACATTTCCTTTCATTTTTTTTATGAAAAATATTTTTTTTTATTAATAACCATAACTGGTGAATCTAAATCGTTTTCAAGTGTTGTGACATTTCGAATAAATTTGAAGTGATTTAAGGTCCCCCTCGCAAAAGAGGTTTTCAACCTCAAGGGGTTTTTTTTTTTAGCTGGTTGAATATAAGTGAAACAATCTAAATATGGGGCGACCGGTTCGCATGGTGGGGGACAGCCCAGTGTCGCTTCTGCCCTCCCTCCCACCCACTGCACACCTCTGGGATTGCCCCGCCTAGTGCATTGAAAATACCGAGGTGTTTTTGTAATGCAAAGTTGTATTTGAAATTTCCAGTTGTATTTTCACCACTTGACCTATGCTACTTTGGACAGCAAATAAAGGAAGCGCCCAATCTCGTGTATTTCTGCAGCCACTTCTACGATTTCACGGACTTCATTCAAATTCACGATTTCTCTGAGCTCTCTGTTGCGCCCCAACTCGCAGCCTTGGGGGTGGTGCCCGGCCCGATGATTCCCCACTGACAATGCCCCCCCCTCCCTGTCTCCCTGTCTCCCTCTCTCCCTGTCTCCTTCCCTCTCGGGCGGTTGCAGGTTGCGGACTGCGCCTGGGATGAGACGGTGCGTGTGTACGTTCCTGGGTGTCTGAATACTGCTCCAAGCTGACCTATGGAACCAATGATCTATGACCGTCCTCCCTCCAACTCCCTCTCCCCCCGCCCCATCTACATCGCAGTTGGCATTGCCGCTAAAATTGCTGTCACATTGACTGCCATCAGTATTAGACTTGTTTCGCTCTTTTTATTCCGGGTGCTTCAAAAAAATGTTAACATTCATATGGCACTATCGTTTTTAATGACAAATGAACGGATAATACTGCACTGTGACGTGATAGCAAATGTCTGTTAATAGCTTCAAAAAAGTCTCCACTTGTTCACCATCATTGTCAACGCGTGCCTGCAATTCCTCCAGGTGGTCTCCATAGCGCGGAGGCACATTGGTGTTGTTGTTTCAAATTCCCAGAAGTGTTCACATTTTTTTTAAGCACCCTGTATATATATAATCAAAGGAAAGATTATTGTGAGTTCACTCAGCCGTCGTTGTGAATGCCGTCACCGAGTACTGCAATGGGATCTCGTCCCGCGTGGGTTAGCGACGAAATGGAACGCGGTGGCATTGCAGGACTCTGGTGACCGCGTGGGGGGGGGGGAGGCCTTCATCCAACAGTGGAAAGAACACGTCTGATGATGATGGTGATGATGAAACATCAAGAGGAGTTGACCACGTGTGTGTGTGTGCGCGCGCGGTGGTGACGTCACCGCGCGTGGTGCCACCCGCGTCCCGCAGCGTCGAACCCGGGTTCGTGCGACGCGTTGGCATCACGCCTCTCCACCCACCCTCCACCCGGGCTGTGGATCACAGTCGGTGCTGGTCGAAATTAAACATAATCCACTGCTGGATGAAGACATGTTGGCGCAGTGGTAACACTCGTGCCTCGGAGAGATTAGCACGGTTGGCTACGTACGGTGTGAAAGAAGTTCAACGAGCATACATAGAAGGGTTCAGGGTTCGTCCCATAGCTAAAAAAAATGACCCAATGGAACTGGTGTTGGGAAAAGATTCCAGTGCTGGAAATTTCTACCTGAAAATTTACTCATTTGGGATCACACAGCAGCGCCATCGCCCCCTGCAAAAAAAAAAAAAATTGGCAGAGACGGCATGGGCCACCACGGTGGCGAGATGTTCTCCGCCTCGCCTGGTGTTGCAGGAGTTTTCTTCGTGTTCTCCCCGTGGCGGCATGGATTTGTCTCTTCTTACGAGGATTTGGCTGCTGTGAATTTCCCCATGATAAGCCACTTCGTTGAGATATCAGTTTGTGGCCACGTTGCTTATGAAAAAAGCGACGTATCTATGTGGACATTACCCGGTATAAAATAAAAATAAATAGGTTAATAGGTCGGGCTTTCCTGGCTAAGCACGCATAGTAATACATAATACCTCACCATGCCATATGGGGGTGGTTTGACCATACTTCACCATACTGGTCAGTGCAGGTTGGGAAAGTGGGGGCCCAGGACCAATTCAGATATCGCTCGCTACCGATGGTGTCTGTAGCTGGGAATCCAACTCAGTCGTTGGGTTCAAAGCATATTGTGCTAATTGCTGTTGCATCGATTCATCCCGTGGAAGTATTTCACAAATATGAATGTGGCCGAGAATCAGACTCTTGATTGCTGGATATGTTCAACTGATGAATGTTAATGAGACGCAGATAATACAACATCATTGTGATATGATGGCGTGTGTAAAAAACATTTTTGAAAATTAAGTATTGGAAATAGAGATTAATTGTTTTTGCCGAATTTTGTTTTGCATATGGTGACATTTAATGTCAGTAAAATTATTTATGTGATCGACACACAAATAAGATGCTTTAAATGTACCTTGTGATGCACTTTAAATAAGTATAACTGTACCCTTTTAAAATACCACCTTATCAAACTGCTGCAGTAAGAGAGCCTCTGTATACCTACCGTGTCTGTCGTCAGGTTTGGAGGGCCGTATTTCACCATTCCTGATTGGTGTGCTTTGAAGGGAGCCCTGGACCAGTTCAGATAACGAGACAAAGCTCGCCACTGATGTTTATCGTGGCTGGAAATTGAACTGACTTCAATTGCCAGCGCTCTGACCACTGTGCCACCACTCCACCCAAGTATATACATATATATGCACCTTTTAATATATGTACATGGTATAGTCAGACTTTTTTTCAATCGACTGCTAGATGGGGCCTTCCCACTACATCCTCACACTGGTTGGTGTAGTTTGGTGGAGGCATAGAGCATCGATACGGGAGCATAGAAGTATGTTACAATTAAATTTGCTTCACTGCCCACTGCTGTCCATAAGGCAGTCCTACAACCTCTTTAACACCTGTTGTTGTGCATGGCGGTCGCTTATCCAACAACTACCCATGCTTCACTCTGCTTCGCTTTCCAAGGTCGGATAAGATCAGGTGCAAGATATACGTGCAGTACATCAACACGTCTCTTGGAATGTACAGCAGCAGAAATCAGCCGAGATGTCAATGTGTGCCTTTCCCATTTGCTGTGTCAAAAAATCCATCCGTGAAATGTCCCGTAAAATCATCAGCTGGGCCCAGACCATGGCTACCATAGTTCAGCAGCCTAAATAATTCCAGGGCATTGGAGGCTGGCTGGCTGGCTTTCGACTTAGACCATGAGGCCGACACTGGTGAGAAAATCTCCCAGTTATTAGGTGTAGCCCCTCCGAGCGCATGCTCGCGCCAGCGCTGGCAGTAGGGCCTCTGTTCTAGGGAGCTCCAGAGAGCCTCTCTAGAGGGTATTGAGCCGACTGTCCATGCTGGCCACATCTTGGACATGTGGGAGTATCCCAACCTGATTTGACCACATTTTGTATCCACTAACTCGTGTACCCATTCATGCGTCTGGGAGGACGTAGGTGGAGGTTTTTTTAATAAACTTGCACCACTTTCATCTGGCGCACTCCAGGAGATACAATCGGACATGTCATATTTGGCCAGTGTGGAAGGGAAGGTCAAATTACCCTTTGTGCCAGCAGTGGCATGAGCCAGTGCCGGATTAAGCTGGTGCGGGGCCTGTAGCATATGTTATAAAGGGGCCCTAAAAACACACATTCAAATTTTTTTTTTGTTTCGTAGTAAAATAATTTTATTTTTTTATTTGCTATACAGCCAGATAATGCGCCAAATCACTAACCTTAAACACCCAGTAGTTCATAAAAGTTGAAGGCAATATAATACTATAGTAATAGAACAAGTGCAGAATCTCAATTGATAGCTTGAAAGCATTTCGCGCGAGGTCCTTGAAAGTGCGGGGCCCGTAGCTACTACACATGTAGCTACTTGTGCTGCTGGGATAATCCGGCAGTGGCATGAGAGCAGGTAGGCAATCGCAGATCCGCAATACTAAATGCGGCTTAAGTCTTGGCATTCGGTGCGTTAGATGTACTGGACATCTCATGGTGTTCGTGGGTGTGTGACGAGGTTCATTCTCTGAACAGCAAACGCTGCGCTTCCTGCCCGATAATTAAAATTGGCAGTTTTGGTTGAGGCGCGGCCACGCGTTCCCATCGCGACGGGGTACGAGTGGCGTTCGGATCTCCCGGAGGGGAGGAGAGCTTTCAATTGTGTGCCGTCTCATCCAGATTCCGCAATAATGGGATGCATGATTCGTGGTGGCTTCTCGAATTTTCCGTGATGACATTTCCAGAATGCTCCCTCCCCTCCTCCTCCCCCCACCTCAAATAGGAATTGCAGATTCTTTCATTAATTTTGGTGGCACGTAACAGTCAAATCGATGGCAGCTGAATATTTATCAAATTGGTTTAGACAGCACAACTCGTCTTATATTATATATGTAAATGTTATATTTAAAATTCTTGAGGACACGCAGTGTGCTTGCGAATGCCCCGGCATGCCAAGAGATGGACAATGATTTGGACATGAATAACAAAGCAAAGTATTGAACTGTTGTTTCCTCTACCACAAGATAGTCCTACAACTTTACAGCCCTCTGTCCATCCGCTGGTGGATAAATGTCTCCCCGTGCCGTGTGGGTCTTAGGAGTTGTTGGACCATACGTCACCGTGTCTGTCGGTGTCTATGAGTGACAGGAGAGGGCCCAGAATTGAGCCAACTCCCTGCACGCCACCGCTTTTGTTACGTATGTCGGGAACCCAGCACCGGTTCAGATGTCACTCGCCACTGGTCAAAGGAATTGAACTCGTGTCGCCGGGATCATTGCACGGCACTGTCCACTAAACCACTACGCCACGGTCGTTTGTTTTGGCCACTGCACAGCTGCCGAAGCAACTCCCCTCGTCTATGGGAACCTCATTTGCCAGTAAAAATATGATAATTGGTTTTATACCCTTCTATCTGGCAACAAAACTGACACCTTTTTACAAGGAGTCATGTTTGCATAGACCACAATACCTGCAGTCATAATGCAAAGAAAAAACACAACTCTGATAATGCGCACTGTCCTTGAAGTTGATTGGTCCACACCCAAGACAGCTGACACCTTTTGGCGTCATCTGGTCCAACCCATGTGAGACTAGGCTCTAAGGAAAGCTGTCTCGGGTGTGGACCAATCAACTTCAAGGACAGTGCACACATTATCAGAGTTATGTTTTTTTGTTTGCATTATGACTGCAGGTATTGTGAGAGATTAGGAGCGTTTATCGGAGCGGCTTAAACATTTCATTTCGGAGCTAATCGTGCGACAGGCGCATCCTCGGCTCGTGCTCGCATCGCGGTGAATGTCAATGGGGAAATTGAACGTTTTTGTTTGCCTGCAGTGGAGTGCGGCGTTGGTCTGAATGTTGCGCACAGCTTTGCCGCTACGTGAGCCCGCCTCCACGTCCTCGCCACTGGTGGGAGTGCTTTGGGGCCGTCCATAAATGACGTCACGCACCTAGGGGGGGGGGTCAGACATTTGTGACGAGGGGGGGGTTTGAGAAATGTGACGTCACATAAAAATGCGCAATTTTAAATAAATATAGACAACACGTTCTCTACTTAATTAATTTTACTTTTTTTATAAATGTTTTCTCCTACAACATCAGAGTGCAGCGGCACATTGAATACGCACTACAATGACAATAGTTTAAAGCGATTTGAAGCATGTTTTATTTGGGGGGGGGGGCGTAGAGCTTTGTGACGTCATATTTGAGGGGGGGGGTCTGACTTTTTGTGACGCCGTGTGACGAGGGGGGGGTTGTCAAAAATCGTCCAAATTCGCGTGACGTCATTTATGGACGGCCCCTTTGCGCTTTGGGCAAACTGACGGTCCCAAATCTAAAATGTGTTTTTTAACGACCACCCTCGGGCACACTGGAATTACGAAATACAGAAGTCGCCGCTTCGCTCTCTGAACGCGGCAGTTGAAGCAATGGGGGGTGGGTCCCTTAAATCCCACCCGGCGGCGTGAAGGGGTACCACCCCAGTCGGTGACGTGTTTGGGGTAAAGCGTCGGCGCTCACACCTGTTTCAAGACATTTGGCCAACATGGAAGAGTAGGCCAAGCATCCCTTACAACAGGGGTCTCCAACCCCCGGGCCGCGGACCGGTACCGGTCCGTGTCCTGTTAGGAACCGGTCCGCACAGCAGCAGGAGGTGAGAGCGGTGAGTCCGCGCGTGGAACCCGCCCCCATTGTTTTATTATTCACCACTTCCATCCGCGCCTCTTTCCCGCACTGCGCACTTGTCTCAGTCACAGTGTTGGTGAGCCCACAGGCTCTAACCCCTAGTAGCCACAATGAGTAAAAAAACAAACGTCGCTGGAGAAATTCTTTGAAAAGGAGGAGAGACCCAATGATGACCCCCCGGTCTGTGAAAAAATTGTCTTCCACGAAACACGTCCCTGATGCCAACAAGGTTGGGGGCCGCTGCTGGCTTCCACGGATGCTCCAGGACCACTTGTTGAGGCCTCCTGGCAGTGGCGTGAGTGAGAAATTCGCAGAATACACATTCATCTTGATATGCTGACTGACGAGTTCTCAAAAATACGCTGCTTTTAAAGTTCAAGTCTCAAAACTGTTGAATGTCCCCTCGTTCACCGTGCAAGCATTTTTTTTATACGTGTGTGCATTTATATAATAATTATGTAATTTGTGCGCAATGTTCGTGCGGTGTGATATTTGGTTGTGTATATTACACTTGTCTGTAATAAAAACAGGTTCCACTCAGGAAACAAAAGATGTTTTTTTATCTAAGAAATTTGACCCCTGTATTGTAGCAATGAGCTTCCCTAGACAGCGCGGTTCCACAGTACACTGATTTATGTCAACATTAATACTGTACTTTCCCCCAAAATGCTGTTGATTTTTATTATAAATACAATAATTTCATAACGTGAACGCATCTAAATATCTCAGGATCACATGATGCTGTACAAGGCCGTCCATATAAACACGGGATATACAGTTTAACACGTAGCAGGCTTTCGCGACCAATATTATTAATAATAAACGTTTTCGGGTTAGATCGCGTTATTTATAAATGTGTCGCAACCCTCCACCACCCGACACGGCCAATCAGTAAAAAAAGTGTCACGTTGACAAAAGACAAATAGTTCACTGCTTTAGCCCACGGGTGTGTTGAAGAGTGAATCCACAACATTTACTTTTTTTTAGTACGAAGTTTCGCTGGTAATTACATCCGGCATCATCGGGCAATTTGCCAGAATGGTGAAGCCCTCACTTGCTCCCGGTCTTTTTCACTGATTGGCCGTGTCGGGTGGTGGAGTGTTACGACACATTTAGAAATAACGCGATCTAACCCAAAAACGTTTATTATGAACGGTACATACAAAAAATAATACTCGTGAACAAAACTAAAACTCGACTTGGGCAGATTGAGAAGATAGTCAGAAGCGCAACACAAAACCATCTCGAACGCGACTACCTTTGACAGCCCCTATCAGCGCTCTCTGCCTTCACCAACCCGCACTGACCAGCTTGAAGTGTCCATAAAATATATTTTTGGGGTTAGATCGCGTTAATATAAAAGTGTCGTCAAAACCCGCCACCACCCGACACAGCCAACTAGTAAGGATCAATTTGTTACTAGTACAGCACACCGGTGTGTTGGAGAGCAAATCCACAACATTTACAATCTGGAGTACGACGTTTTGCCAGTAATTACAACCAGTATCATCAGGCGGACAGCCAGATTTGTGGAGAAATCCTGTTTCGTTATTTTGATAGATCTGATGACGTCACTTGCGAGCCCTTCGCGTGCGAAGGGGGGGGGGGGCGTTATGATATGTGGATGACACTGATGGTCTGGCCACTCGGCAAAGATACACTTAACGAATTTCTAAACATCTCAAGTCGCAAAACCCGTCCATCCAGTTCACCATGGAAGTTCACGTTGACAGAACTCACCCATTTTTGGATATTCTGCTCGGGCGCGGCCTAAATTGTAAAATAACACAGCGTTTACCGAAAGAAATCAACTCACTGACGCCTATCTGAATGCAGTCACACCATCACCCCGCACAGAAATCCTCATGAAGAGGCTCAAACATCGGGCTAAGAAAGTGTCAGATGGTCGTCGTCTGAGAAGTGAAATAAAAAAACAGGTTGGCACTGAATACCAAAACTGGGTTAGAGGAGAAAGGGCGCCTTGACAAATAAATTTGCATAGCAACATAGGAATTTAGCGTATTTATGGAAAGGTGAGAGACTAGATTAGCTGATACTTCTTATCCCGGAGTTTGTTGAAGGATCTCAAAGTTATGTGGAATCCCACCCCGTAGTGGCGGTTAAATTTCCATTTAAAGCTTTCGTGACTGCAGGGATTCATCTTCTTAAATATACGCTGCCAAGCTTGGTGGTGTTCATTCAGACGCTGTCTTTCCGACAGACCTGTTCTTCACCTGAGGACGGCTGCTTGCGTTGTGGCCAAAACGTCGTGAGAATTGTATTTTATTACGTTTTATTTTTCTTATTTTATTATTTCCCTTCTACGTGACTTTACCGAAAGAACCAAGAAGATGAATCCCTGCAGTCACGAAAGCTTTAAATCGAAAATTATTATGACTTTATTTTTATTTATTTTTAGCAATATATTGGGGGGGGGGACATTTTGAGCATATTTGAATGTTGGGGGGGGGGGGGATATGTCCCCCCCCCCCCCAACAGATATTATAATTACGGCCTTGGATTATGGTTGATGTGACTGGAAATAGATTTTTGGCAGGAGGTAAATACAGGAGAACATCGTAGCGTCAATATTTCTAAGAGGAATGGAAACCGTTTTAAGGAGACATGAAATGAACTAGAGAGCGAGTTGGGTGAAGGGAGATGGTTACCAGATTCTCCAAACACAGTTGCGCCCACGTTTAAGATATAATATTGTTCTAGATTTGAAGCTTTCGTGACTGCAAGGATTCATATTTTTAGGTTTTTTGGTAAAATCACGTAGGTAAAAAATTTAAATTAATAAAAGTAAAATTAAAATAAAATTTATTTTAATTTTGTACCTACGTGACTTTACCGAAAAAAACCTAAGAATATATAATATTGTATCAATATATTATCAATATATATTTCTATTCATCTGAGAAATTCGTGCTGAAACCGAAGTACTCTTTTCCATGAGAGTTCTACATTCGGTTTTTAAAATATATATTTTCAGCCACTCAATTTGTCTTAAGACGTGTGGGTGGAACCCGCAGCACCTGGAGATGGCAGCACTCTCTCCAATCCCCCTACAGATGGAGACAGATGGAGATTAGTCCACTTGACGTACCGGCTCTTCGTCTACGCCCACGGGAAGGAAGTGTCACAACGTTTGTGCGATCCACCGACCCTCGCTGCCTCCACAGTGCTGGAGTACAGGCCACCACGTGCACGACAGCCCCCACGGCCCGGCATCTGTGATGACACGATCAATGGCACTCAACGTGAGATTAAGGTTCTAAGCAAACTCGGATGGTGAGAGAACCATGGTCAGAAAGTAACACATTCCTGCGGAGGGAGCTGGTAGGAACGTTGGGTTGCTCGGTCAATGGCCAGGGTCAACAGCGGCGTGGTGTATTCCGCAAATATGCTCGACTGTGAGGGCGGGCACAAGCCGGCGTGAGTAGGTTATACGTTGAGTTTCATAAGGGCACCACGGGGTGACCAGCCCCTCCCCAACCAGCCCCACCCCTCCCACCCCCCACCCAGCCCCTCCCCAACTAGCCCCACCCCTCCCACCCCCCACCCAGCCCCTCCCCAACCAGCCCCACCCCTCCCACCCCCCACCCAGCCCCACCCTCCCCACCCAGCCCCACCCCCCACCCAGCTCCTCCCCACCCTCCCCTCCCCATCCAGCTCCACCCCTCACATTTTTTGATGCACGACGGACCGACGGACACAATAATCCCCTGTGGGATGGTGGAACCAGGTGGTTCCTACCAGTAAAAGCAAGGTGAGTGACGGTGTCGAAGAGGTTCATTGGGGCCGTCCCTAAATGACGTCACGCGATTTTGGACGATTTTTGACCCCCCCCCCCCTCGTCACACGGCGTCACAAGAAGTCAGACCCCCTCAAATATGACGTCACGGAGCTCTGCCCCCCCCCCAAACCATATTTCCATTTTTTTAATAAAACATGCTTCGAATCGCTTTAAACTATAGTAATTGTAGTGCCTATTTAATGTGGCGCTGCGCTCTGATGTTGTAGGAGTGTTGCTATAACAATTTGTGTTGTTATAACAATTCTATATTTATTTAAAGTTGCGCATTTTGATGTGACGTCACATTTCCCAACCCCCCCCCGCCCCCCTCGTCACACATCGTCACAAATGTCTGACCCCCCCCCCAGGTGCGTGACGTCATTTATGGACGGCCACCGTTCACCTGAATGTCCATGATAGGAGCTGGATTGAACTGGGTCGTGATGGTTGCGGAGAGAATTGTGATTTTGGAGAGAGCAGAGAAAAAAAAGACTCTTTCCAGGAATTTAGCGAGGCGTGTGATATTTAGAGTGACATCCTTTTGGATGACACCACACGATCATGATCCATGTCTGAGAGCGATGCAAAACAAATGGCACATCTTGAAACTCAAGTCGACCAAATCGTGACTCGTATTGAACAAAGGTGTGCCGCCCACACACAGCAGGAAGGCACGACGCCCATAATGCATTGCGATGCAAGTCATGTGACTACTCCATTGCATGTGCCGTGCTCTCAGCCTTGTCTAGACCACCAACTCAAAATAACGACCTTTACCCCAGCCGACATCATTAGAGACTTGCTCCACTCACATGTGCCCTCAAGGCCTCTAAGATATGGTGGGGGATGCAGATCCTCTCTGCATTCTCAGGTCATAGAAGCTTCTGCCCATGGGCGATCGAAGCCAGCCTGCCACACTCTCTCCTGCGGAATTTCAGGATCTCTGAGTCTGTGGACATTAAAACAACAACAACAACCGCCATTCGCCACTAAGTGGCGGTGACGTCACCACGACGCTTGTGCCAGGCCATGTGCACCTTGAGGCCACGTGAAGTGTCGAACGCCCGCTGGCAGGAGGTTACGGGGCAGACCAAGGTGCCACGGGTCGACATTAAAAACACACTCACACACACACACACTCTCGCCTTAAACCGTGTCTGTCCACTTCAGTTTATTTAACCTTTTAGCCAATTCAGCAAATGGCTGTTTAGCTTTTTATTTGACCTTTTCTACTTTAAAGTCTCACGTGCCCAGTGTCTGCTGCTACTGTCTTGTACAGTGCGTCGAGACCCACGATGAGAGGCGCGTTTGGCTACGTACGGTGCGAAAGAAGTTCGACTCGCACGCACGCACAGATGCGCTTTGAAAAAAAAACAGGGTGATTCTTCTGATCAAAAAAGCCGAGTTGAGAAGTTGTGTCCGTCCGTCCCGTCACGTCAAGGGGCACATTGCGGGCACCGTGGGTGGGTGGGTGGCCCACGTGGACGCGTGTGGTGCCACAACGACGGGGCCGCTCTGCCGAACCAGGGAGCCGCCCGGCTTCCCCCACCGCACTGCCCCCCATCACCCGCCCCACATAAGCACACACCCGCACGCCCCCCCCCCCCCCCCATAGAGCTGGAAGGGAAGGTCACCTGATCGACCGGTTTTTATCCGAGAGACTCTTATCGGGATTAATTCTCACGGTTTCCGGCGATCAGGGAATTGGATGACCTCCCCGTGCTACGTGGCACCGCGGCGCTGCGGCCGGCCTTAATATGGTAGGTCGTGGCGTGGGGCATTCGGCCACCGCGGTTGAGGCGCATTTCCCCCCACACACACTCCCACGGGTCGACGGGGCGAGCAGGGGAGGCACGGGACAGCATGAATAGCGGGGTCACAGGGGCTGTTGCGCATAGTCATGGAGGGTTGGGATAATTGCGCTTGAGCGCGCAAGCCCCATTGGTAGGAAGGGTAAGGGAGTAATTAGGATTTACGCCTTGCACGCAGCACACTGATTAGCATATCAACAGCGCCTGGGGACTGCGGTGCGCGGGCTTGGGGTGCACGAGCCCATTGTTCAGCGCAGCATCCCCTTTGGGAGGTAGGGAGGATAAATAGAGGAGCGCAGAGGGGAAATCGCTCTCTTACTCCAGCGCCAGGCGACCAGACGCAGCTCGAGCCAGCGACCCGGACGTCCGTGCGACGCACCGAGGCACGCGGTTAACAGAAGGATCAGCGGACCGCCGTGGACACTTAACAGTGAGTAAGAAGGGGAATTAGAATCATAGCCGATAAATAGGGAATAGGTACAGGTTTAGTGGAATAGGCCAGCCTCGTCGACTCACTGATTCAACATCAATTCGCAGGTGGCATATAATAAATCATTAATAGCGAAGCGTGGTCTCGCGTGATCTTGTCGTGCAGTGTGAGCGTGTGGGTGCGCTGTGTGCACAGTGGTTCGCCACGGGAGTGAGCGCTGCGCGGAGCTGAGCGCGCGGGTTGCGTGTGGGAACGCGTGTGGTACTGTGTGTGCGTAAGCTCGCGGCGTGCGTAATCGGCGTACCCCAGGTGCGCGATTGTAACGTGAGCGGCCAGCGCGGCGCAGAGAAGCGCAAGAGTGAGTGCCGTACAGAGCTGTGTGTGTGGGTGTGCGCGTACGTAATTAACCATGCCTGCTACGCGGACCCGCGGTGGAGTGGAATCCTCGGGCGACGGCTCCCACCCCATGGGTGAGGAACTTAGCAGCGGTTCGCTTAGCAGCGGGGGGGCGATTGATGATGCTAGCCCGGCCGTTAGCATTATCGAGGGAGGGATCTCGGGGGCTAGCGACCCCCACAAATTGGTGTCGGAAGCGGTACGGACCCCCGCGTTACCTCACGCTAAAATAAGACTAATATTTACCGGCCGGGGGGCCCCTTCGTGGAAGGCATTCGCCCGCAATCTCTTAGGGGCCAAGGAAATTAATGGATGGACGGACGCGCAGGCAGTACGTCAACTTAATATGAATCTTGATGGGCGGGCAGCCGATTTTGTAGAAGCGTTACCCGCGAGCGCACAGACACAGCTAGAGGAGCTGATGCGCCGACTCGATCAGCGGTTTGGCACGCGTGACGAGGAGGAAGCAAAATCGGCCTTAGAGGCGCGCCGGCGCCAACCTGGCGAAGATCTACGTGATTACGCCGAGGATGTGCGCGAGTTAACAAAGATCGCACGCCCGGGGTACGCAACTGATGTTATTGAGGAACTGGCCGCCGAGAAAATCCAGCGGTACCTGTCTCGCACGGCGTGGTGGCAGCCAGACATGAGCTGCCCACGTCTTCCCTTTAACGCCCTTGTCGAGCGCGCACGTAAGTGTGAAAGAATTCACAGCGAACGCGCGCAGCTCCGGGGGCTGGGACGAGAGCGCGCCATTGCGAGCCTGCTCTCGGAAGACGAGGAGGAGGAACAGGAGCTCGCGAGGACGGTAAGGGGCCGGGAAAGAGAGCCTCCAGTGTCCCGCGAGACAACTCCGGGATGGGTTGCCGGTATACAAACGGGTATAAAGGATGTCTCCGGCCAGGTAACCCAGATAGACAACAAGGTAAACCAAGTAGGTGAGAGGGTAACCCAGGTACGCGAGGAAACGAATAAAAATATGACCCAACTGCAATCCTCCGTTGAGACCATCCGATCCGAAATGGGGGACCTACGCGCCACGGTGGGAGGGTTATCTGGGAGGGTAGCCCGACTAGAGGCAGAGGGTGGACAGCGGCGTAATGGGGGGGGAGGGAGCGGACAGGGGACCCGCTACGGAACCGCCCCCCCTCCCCGGGCATGTTATATGTGCGATCGCCGAGGGCATCTAGTGAGAGACTGTCCTGAAATCACCCGAGCTAGGCAGGCGCGGGGGTTAAACTCCAACGCCTCCTAGTGAGCGGACCAACTAGGGGTGCAATCGACGCGGTCCCGATACAAATAGACGATAATGAGAATAATGGCGAGCGAGTGATCTCCACACAGGTTCCAGCAACAACGCCCACGGAAACGGTGACTCCTGGCGACTGGCTGCGGGAGCTGGTGGCGGGGATCACGGGGGCCACGTCGCTGGTGGAAGGGGAGGTAAACGGGGTGCGTACCCGAATCCTGCTGGACACGGGGGCGGTGGCCTCGCTCGTGAGCGCAGCGCACTGCAGCGCGATCGGGGTCGACGTGCGTCACCTGCAGGCACCGGACCGCGCGCTGCACACTGCGAGCGGAGCCGGAATGGGGCTGCTGGGGAGAGCCACCCTAGAGGTCCGCATAGGCAGTCAGGTGTGCACCCAGGAGTTCTACGTGTCGAGTGCGTTGTGTCACGAGTGTATCGCAGGTACCGACCTCTTAGAACGGCTGGGACTCAACGTGCAACCCCGCCAGCGATGCGCCACCATGGAGAGCAACGGCGAGCGGATACCATTCTTGGGACGAGAACCGACGCGCCCCCGCTTCGCACCTGTGGCCGCTATC